TTATAATAATATTAATAATAAAAGTAAATTAATTATAATAACAATAATAAAAGTAAATTAATTATAATAACATTAATTATAATTACAATAATAATAATAAAAGTAAAAAACAGACAAACACACAAATGTGAAACAAATAATATTTACTCGTAAGTGAGACCTCTACTCATCTGTCAATACTTTCAGTATATCTTCACTTGAACTGCTGCTACTACTACTAGACCTGCTAGTGCTTCTACTTGTGCTTCTACTAACTGACTTACTACTACCTCTATCATCTGATCTACCTTTTCTCTTATTAACCGATCTATCTCTTCTCCTTTTAACCGATTTATCTTCTACTTCACTTTCATCTTCGCTACTAATAGCTTCTGAGCTACTAGAGCTTAAGAACGATAATGATCTTGCTTTTCCTTTCCTCTTACTAAATACTGCTATGACTGCTTGAGCAACTGCTTGTGCAATGTAACTTACATCCACTAAATAATAGATTATTGTTGTGTTAATGATGTATTAAAATTATCACTTTTTATAAACCTTATATTTTCGTTTCTTATATTTACATGACTTTTTTTTAAACTTTTTAGCACCTATTTTACTGCTCTCTGGTTTCGGCAAATGCTTTTCTTTACCCATGTTTTAATAAAATTTTTTGACGAAAAATTAAAAGATATTGACCGCTTATATATTAATCTTATCCTCATCATTCTAATATCTATTAATTAAATTAAAAAATTATTTTATTAAATAAATGATTACATTAAATTAATTATCTTTTGCATAAAAGATATTCTTTCAAATGTTAAGCTCATTCATTATTAAGCAATAAAAAAATTATATTAATATTACTATAATATCATTAATTAATAACTGATTATATTAATTATAATATTCCTTTAACAATTACCAAATTTGGTATTATATATTTTGGCAATTTTTAATTAATCTCGATTATATTAAAAAATAATACTTTTTATTTAGAAGATTGGATAACGATCTTAACAATTACCCAATTTAGTAACAATACGCTTTCGACGATTTTTCATTGTTAAATATGTAGAATAAAAATTAAATCATATAAAAATTAATATCAT